ACACACGCCCTCAACCAAAACTGTGGAGCCACAACAGGCAAAAACGAAAAATACATAACACAAAAGTATATGCATCCTAATAAAGGCACAAGGACTCTTGTGGTGCAACAAGAGCCCTTTCCACCAAAAGCCAGAAAAAACAAGCTCGTATTACCAAATAAATAGTCCATCACGATGGTGGCATACTTTCGAACAAATCAACTTTCTCCAAACCAGAGAAACACACACACAGAGAACAAAAACCCAGGGAGTACTCAAAGCTTCAAAGGCTTATTCTTATATCCACCATACCAGTCATGATGGAAGCACAAACACCAAAAAAAAAAAAAAAAACATAATTTGCAGATTTCTCATTGCATATGAATGGCGGGCAGGACGTTGTAAAAGGGTATTGGACAGGGCATAAATCATGCAAAATTTGAAATGAAACCGAAAATCACATTTACCCACCCGCCTTTCCATTTCGTTGCGTACCGACATTTTTGGCCTAAAACGTTACCATACTCGAAATGTAAGAGGGGAAACTTCACTTAGCATTGGCCATAGCTTCCACTTCGCCTTTGCAACTACTCTATGGAAATCGGAAATATGCGTACTTATCCGAGGACAGTTTCCACGCGATTTTTGTTTGTTTCTGTTTGATATTTATGAATGAAAATTGCTTCAAGTGAGACTTTATGAAAGACGTGAAGTCATGTCAACCGAATGCAATGCACTGGGGGAGTTAATTTGCATAAGTGGTAACGTGGGAAACAACGCGATAGTTTTATAATGGATGGGACATGGGGTAGGTAGGATAGACCAAGGAAAGTGGCTTTCGACACTAGGCACGATTACCGCTTAGCGATTTTAAGCAGGGCATGTACACCGATAAGCTAACCTTAGCTAGATCGATTGCTAAGCTAAACGGGCTGACCCATGATCTGTACTAGACATGCCTAATCTATATTGGAAACGCTGGCCGTTTAGAGAGCCACGCTGGAAACGCTGATGCCTCAACAAGTTTATACCAGAAACGACGAACCCTCAAAGAGTTCATGCTAAGAACGCTGACTTCTCAGCGAGCATATTCCAGATACGCCGAGCCCTCAGCGAGTCTATAGAAAATCTGGTACTGGCACCGCTGACACATCAGCAGCCTATACCAGAAACCCTAACCCTTCAGAGAGTCCATACTAGAAGCACTGAGACCTCAGCGAGTCTATATATTAAATCTGACGTTTCAGCGAGTCTATACCAGAAACACTGATCCATCAAAGTGTCCATGATAGAAACGCTGACCCTGCGGGCACTGACACCGATTCGTCAAAGAGTCTATACTAGAAAAGCTGACCCCTCAGCGAGTTTACACTAAAAACGCTGAATTATCAGCAAGTCTATACCAGAAACGCTGACCCATCAGAGGGGCGACACAGGAAACGCTCACCCTTCAGCGGGTTTTTATAGAATATCTGATCCCTTATCGAGTCTGTACTGAGAAAACTGACCCCTCAGAGAAACGCTGATCACTCAGCGAGCCTATACTAGAAACGGTGACACCTGAGCGAACCTATACAAGAAATGCTGATCCCTCTGCGAGTTTGTACTGGGAACGTTGATCCCTTAGATAGCCCAAACTAGAAACGCTGACCCTTAAGGTAGTTCTTATAAAATATCTGATCCCTCATCGAGTCTGTACTAGAAAAACTGACCCCTCAGAGAACATATGCCGGAAATGCTGATCACTCAGCGAGTCTATACTAGAAACGCTAACACCTTAGCGAACCTATACCAGAAACGCTGACCCCTCTGCGAGTTTATACTGGAAACGTTGATCCCTCAGAAAGTCCAAACTAGAAACGCTAACTATTAAGGCAGTCCTTATAAAATATCTGATCCCTCAACGAGTCTGTACTGGAAAATCTAGACCCCTTAGAGAAACTATACTAGAAAGGATGACCCACGGAGAGTCTATACTAGACACGCTGATCCTTCAGCGAGTTTGCATTAGATCAATCAGCGAGTTTGTATCAGACACGCTGATGTATAAGTGAGTCTATTCTAGGTTCCCAGACCCCTCAGCGGGTTTGTACTAAAGATGGGAATTCAACCCGCGGTCAGTAGTAGGAACACTAATCGATCTGTGATCCTATGCTGGATGCGCGGACCCTTCAACGAGCCCATACCAGAAGCGCTGACCTCTCAAAGAGTCCATGCTAGAAACCCTGACATCTCAGCGAACTTTTAGTAGAAACGATGACCCACAGTTAGTCTATACTAGATCCTTTAGCGGGATTGTATCAGACACTCTGACCCATTAGCGACTCTATTGTAAAAACGCCGACCCCTAGGCAAATTTGTACTAGGACGTAGATTCATCATCGAGTCTATCGCGGTCAGGCTGGCGAGTAGACATCTGAAAATCTGACTTCTGAAGCTGACCCCTTATCAGGCATTTTCTGCTAGATACGCTGGCCCTACAGCGATTTATTAATTGACACGTGGACCCATCAAAATCTCTAAGAAGAACGCTGACCCCTTAACAAACCTTTACTAGAAACGCTGGCTACACTAGAGACTCGGATTTTAATTCCCTCGAAATTAGCTTCACGTTGTTTCCGATACAGCTTGCAACAATTTCATTGTCCCCTTTGTTTCTTTTAAATCCCAGATCTCCAGGAGGAAATTTTCCTTCTGACCTTTGACAGTGATATCTTTTCCCAGCCCAATTCCTTGATTGCGTATTCAAGTTTCTTAGCATGACCACCCCCCTTTTCCCAGCTCGATGTGCACGATTCCGCCGATCGTTTTCCCGATTTTCTTTATGCCAACTCCAATTTCTTCTGGCTTTATAGAGGTTTTATTTTTTTCTGAGAATATCTGCAAAACTGCAATTTCCGGCTTGAATTGCATGTTGTACGTTTTTTATACTATCAGGGTTATCCTTGCTCAGCTCGATGTAAACTTTTCCTACCTGCGATTTCTGGATTTTCTTTATGCCAACTCCAATTTCTTCTGATTTTATAGATGTTTTCATTTTTCTGAGCATATCGGTATGACTGCAATTTCCGACTTAAATTGTAAGGCACACCCCACCTTTGTTCTAAGTACGCTTCTTCTACGATCAGTTTTATCCTTGGTATTGTTTCGCCATTTCGTCACTGTCGACTGTTGCGGTGCACTTTCTTCTATAGATTTCGCCATGTTGGGCCCCAAAGCTCGCAACTTTCTATTTTTATCCGGGGATAAGTTTGCGGTGCATTTTTAATTGCTTCTGAGGGTTATTTCATCGAACTCGATTTGCATTTCCTTATTCTCATATTTTGGGAATCTATTTTCTGGGATTTCTCTCACGATTCCGCTTGGCGCTTCTCTGTTTTCACGCAGCTGCTGGCATGAGGTTATCCCATTATGAAAGATCGCTGTTTAGTAACGTTTATGGTCTCATGGTTGTCTAAGCACTCAGGGCGGCCATGCGAGGGCTGATCAAGAATCCTTATGAGCTTCGACGCTCAGAGCCAGGCCCGTAGAAAACTGGACCCAACCTAATGGTGAGGAATCTGACAGCGTTCTATTAGACTTCCCATATTTGAAAAGGATGTGAGCTGTTCCGGTTAGATTTCACTCCACTTACTCGGGTTCCAGGATACAACAACCGTCAGGCCAAGGTATTCTCACGGTTGTCTATATATGCAGGATGGTCATGCGAGGGTTAATCAAGAATCCTCATGAGTTCCGGAGTTCAGAGCCAGACCCGTAGAAACTGAACCTACACCACCAACCAAATTTTACAAGTTTTATTAGGATAGAAGCTGTCTCGGTTAGATTTGACCCACTTAATCGGGTTTCAGAATACTACAACCATCAGGCCAAGGATAAATATGTGTCGGTGATCAAGTCTTTAATTTTGAGCGCTTTCAAATTCCCTCAGCCGCTCTTTGTAATTGGGCGCCATTTGCGGCCAAACTGCAAACTTTGTGCAATATGACAACTTTGCACGAGATAACCCTCAGCCACTCTTATTTAACTCCTGTCATGAAGTATTCCCTGGCAAATCCTTTCCATTGTTTTGTTTGAAATTCAAAAATTAATCCTTCATTCTTTGCGGGACAATGGTATTGCCATAAAAGGATTTTTCTACATCAGCATTGCAATTCTATTGCCATGGCAGTTACTTGTAGGGCTACCACTTTTCTCTTGACTATTGTTACCATTTTTGTTTTTCCAATTTTTAAGTAGGCTAACAAACGACTGTCATGCAGGTCTGCCTGCCTGTCTGTCTGTCTGACTGCAGAAGTGATATGAAACAAATTGAAAATTGTATCTTAACAACTGCAGCAGCTCCACACAACTTTACAACTCCTTTGTTATGTTAAGCAGAGAACTTTGTTTTCAAGCTCCTTTTACAATATCATATCTGCATGGAACAATACGAAACGCCCCAAACTGTCATTTGCATGTGCAGGCAGACATCAGAGGCAGTGTGGTTGGATGAGGAAACAGTGGTGGTTGGTGGCCACATTTGAAGTATTCTAAAGTGGGAATATGAGAAGTATTTGAGGAGTTAATGAAGGAAGTCCGATTGATAGTTTTAGCAGAGCTGGGTCAAAGTCGGAGTAGGATCTTCTAAGAGGATTCGAGACATACCGTAAGCTTAAAACTTAAACTCATCACGATATTGACTCTCCTTACCTCTCCTCACCTTAAAAATTAAACTCATCACGGTATTCATTCTTCGACTTGAGAGACAGTCTCCAAGCCTTGAATCCCACTGCAATAGCTAGACTCCGAAGCCTTGATCCAAATACGAATTTTCTTGGCAGCCAAAACCTCACTAGTTCCTATTTGTTTCGTGTGTTTTTAACAAGAAATGACTCCAATACGACACCTTGGAAAACCTGTCAATTTTTTTTAATTTATTTTGGTTTTCATATTTGAATTTCCAATTTCCTTAAAACAAACAAAGAAATCTTCCTTTTTTACCATTTCTCAATTATTTCTCTCAATCTCTCCATTTCCAGGCAAAAATGTACTCGCCCCACCATCACCACCCAAAGATTCGCCCGGCGAGATGGGTAAGCCGGTAACACTGCCCGCCAACATGACTGAAGAAATGAAAAAAGCCGTTGACGATGGCTGGCAAAAGAATGCCTTTAATCAATATGCCTCGGATATGATTTCAGTGCACAGGACACTACCCGATCCACGGGATGCATGGTAAGTAATGGGCAAAACCAATTCTTGAAACTTCAATAACACGTTCCGAGGCATGTTCTGACTTCGAAATGGCAGGAAAAAAAACCATCTCAAGTTAAGAACGAAAAAACACAACAACACAAAAGTTATTAATGAAAGTGTGCGAAAATAGGAGTCAAAAGTCATTTATTTAAATGGCTAGTCCCATAATCGTAGCTTTTGATAGGTAACATGGAGGCCAGCAAGAAACTATGTACCAACAGCGGACAAGCTGAGGAGTAGCATACACCAAAAAAAAAAAGGATCGCATTTTTGACATATGCCTGTGTAACACTTTTAAAGTGTTCATTTTGATGGGAACCCATAAAAACATTAAATTGCGTATATAATCGTTTGTACAACAGCATTGAAAACAATCTTGTTTTTTTTTTTTTGTTTTGGCGTTCGGTAGGTGTTACACTGAACGCGGGACGCATTTTCGGCCAAAGGATATCGTTTTGCCAACTTGATTGTGGCTAACTGCCAAGTGATAATGAAACATAGCAAAACTTTTTGATTGAAAATCGCTGAGGGGAAAACTGGGCGAAACAAAAAGTAGTGGTCTCTGAGGCGAGCTACTCTAGGCTGGCGGTCTCTGAGAACAGCTTCTCTACGCAAGAGTCCCCTGAGGCCAGTTACTTTATGATAGAGGCCTCGAGAGGCACGATACTCTACTTCAGTGGCTTCTGATATTTGCTACCTGGCCAGCTACTCTACCCTGGAGGCCTCTGAGGACAGCTTTTCTACGCTAGAGTCCCCAGAGTCCTCGAGAGGTAGTGCCCTTTAAGGCCAGCTATTCTACAGCAGGTGGCCTCTGAGACCAGCTATTCTACAGCAGATGCTTTTAAGACCAGCTACTCCACAGTAGAGGCCTCTGATGATAGCTACTCTACGCTGGAGGCATCTGTGGCCAGCTACTCTACAGTAGTGGCCTCAGAGGCCAGCTACTCTACAGTAGTGGCCTCAGAGGCCAGCTACTCTACAGTAGTGGCCTCTAAGGCCAGCTACTCCACGCTGGAGGCATCTGTGGTCAGCTACTTTACAGTAGTGGCCTGTAAGGCCAGCTACTCCACGCTGGAGGCATCTGTGGTCAGCTACTCTACAGTAGTGGCCTCAGAGGCCAGCTACTCTACAGTAGTGGCCTCAGAGGCCAGCTACTCTACAGTAATGGCCTCAGAGGCCAGCTACTCTACAGTAATGGCCTCAGAGGCCAGCTACTCTACAGCAGTGGCCTCAGAGGTCAGCTACTCTACAGCAGTGGTCTCAGAGGTCAGCTACTCTACAGCAGTGGCCTCAGAGGTCAGCAACTCTACAGTAGTGGCCTCAAAGGCCAGCGACTCTATATTAGTGGTCCCAAAGACCAGCGACTTTACAGTAGTGGCCTCAGAGGCCAGCTACTCTACGCTGGAGGCCTCAGAGGCCAGCTACTCTACAGCAGGTGGCCTCAGAGGCCAGTTACTCTACAGTAGTGGCCTCTGAGGCCGGCCACTCTACAGTAGTGGCCTCTGAGGCCAGCTACCCTACAACAGGTGGACTCTGAGATCGTCTACTCTACAACAGGTGGCCTTTGAGATCGTCTACTCTACAGTAGTGGCCTCTGAGGCCAGCTACTCTACAGTAGTGGCCTCTGAGGCCAGCTACTCTACAGTAGTGGCCTCTGAGGCCAGCTACTCTACAGTAGTGGCCTCTGAGGCCAGCTACTCTACAGTAGTGGCCTCTGAGGCCAGCTACTCTACAGTAGTGGCCTCTGAGGCCAGCTACTCTACGCTGGAGGCATCTGTGGTCAACGACTCTACAGTAGTGGCCTCAGAAGCCAGCTACTCTACGCTGGAGGCATCTGTGGTCAACGACTCTACAGTGGAGCCCTCTGAGGTCAGCGAATCTACAGTAGAGGCCTCTGAGGTCAGCTACTCTACGCTAGAGGCATCAGAGACCAACTACTAGACAGTAGCGGCCTCTGAGGCCATCTACTCCACAACAAGTGGTGCAGGTCAGCTATTCCCCAACAGGTGGCCTGTGAGGCCATCTACTATACAGCAGGTGACTCCTGAGACTAGCTACTCCACATCAGGTGGCCTCGGAAGCCAACTACTACAAAACAGGTTGCCTCTGAGACCCGCTACTCCACAACAGGTGGCTTCTGAGACCAGCAACTCCACATCAGGTGGCCTCTGAGACCAGCTACTCCACAACAGGTGTCTTCTGAGAACAGCTACTCCACATCAGGTGGCCTCGGAAGCCAACTACTACAAACAACAGGTGGCCTTTGAGACAAGCTGCTCCTCTGATCCCAGATTCCAGTTTCAGCTATGGCATCTGAGGGCAGCTATTCTGCACCAGTAGGCCTCTGAGGACAAATACCTCACAAACGGTGGCCTATGTGACCTCTAAGCCCAGATACTTTCAGCTGTGTCTTCTGAGAACTGCTACTCCACAACAGGTGGCCTGTAAGGTCAGATGTTCTACAACAGGTTGCCTATGAAGACAGTTGCTCTTAAATGTGACCTCTAAGGCCAGATACTTACAGCTGTGGTCTCTGAAGGCAGTAATTCTACAACAGGTGGCCTTTTTAAGTCGATTAGTCCACAAAAGTTCAGGTTAGGTCAGCTAATTTCCAATCTCGGCCTCTAAGGCTTGCTTCTCTTCGTTAGTGGCCTCGGAGACCAGCTTCTCTCCGTCAGTAGTCTTTTCGACCAACCTCGAAAGCTTCATTTTCTCCCCCTCACAAAGTTTGCTGGGTTACAAATGCAATTTGTTCACAGAATTATTGCTAAACTGTCCGCCTTGTAATATTTTCTTGATGGCTTTGCGGCTTCTTCGCTTTAATGTTTTTGTTTTTTGCTGATGTTATTGTTGTTGTTATTACTGTTGTTGTAATAATTTAGTGGACTGATTTGTTTCTGGTGTTTTTTGCTCTTCTCATTTATTTTTCCAACCTTTTTTTGTTTGTCGTTTTACAGGTGTAAAGAGCCGGGACGTTATCAAAAAGATCTGCCAGCCACTGATGTAATTATTTGTTTCCACAACGAGGCGTGGTCCGTGCTGTTGCGTACCGTACACTCCGTTTTTGATCGTTCACCCGAACATTTGATAGGCCATGTAATACTGGTAGATGACTACTCTGATATGCGTAAGTATGACGGGCGGGGATGGGTTACCTGCAGGATGGGGAATGGGGGGCGAGGAGGAGGACATTGGTTGCATTGGTTGAAATGTTGGCTGCCTGCCTCTTTGGTATGCATTGGGGCAAACTCAAGTATAACCACGTTGTGTTATTATGCCCTGGTATTGTCTGGAAACGTGATTGATTGTTGCACGTGTCTGGCATGGCAAAATCAGTTGTATGACCAGCACAAACCCACACACGCACACATCCACACTTGAATGTTATGTGTGAGTGTGTGTGTGCGAGAGAGTTTGATGGGATTATTTGTATTATTTCTAAATGTCTAACATTTCATTCAACTGCACCTGTGTCCTCTTTCCTCCTCCAAGGGAGGGTTATGGTTATGCCATTCTAAGTTCTTGCTTTTTTTAATAAATTGTTGTTATTTTTGTTTTTTCTTTCCCCCTTTGTTACAGCCCATACGAAAAAACAATTGGAAGACTATTTTGCTGCCTATCCAAAGGTTAAAATTTTACGTGCACCAAAGCGTGAAGGTTTAATACGCGCCAGACTGCTCGGTGCACGCCATGCCACCTCACCGGTCCTAACATATTTGGATTCGCATTGTGAATGCACCGAAGGTAAGTCGAATGCATGTTAGGCAACATAACTTGCCAAGCCAAAGAGGAAAAACTTTTTTGTGTGCAATGCTCACTCGGAGGCATGAAACTTTATGTTGGCTGAACCCCTAGCCCCTCTCCGTGTGCCATCTAAACAAACAACCAACTTCGCTCTACCTACCTACCACCTAACATTTGCATTTCCATACTGCTAGCTCTAACCCCGGTTGCAGTTGCAATTTTTGCACATCATTTGCATATCAATACGTCCGTCCATTCATCTGCCTAGCTGGTTGGCTGGCTAGCTGGCCAATCGTCCGTCCTTGTGTCTGTTCGTTCGCCTGTGTAATTGTTATGGTTAAACGAATGAACATTTAACTAAATGAGGTTAAATGTTACCTACACATCTCGATGAAGCATCGCATGGATGTTTTGTTTACCTCTTCCTCTCTTTTGGGGTCCGCTGCAATCGGCCAACAGCTGGTGTTGATGAAATAAACTTCAAATGCTAGGCAGTTGGTCGAGCATAGCCAAGGACCGGGGCATTCTAATCAATTGGAAAAGAAATAATCAATTATTTAAGCTCTGTTTGTTTGGGGGGAGAATGGGCCAGAGGGTCATATAAATGGAGGGAGCTGGAATACAAAGTTAGGTAATGAGTAGTGTTTTAGAAGAGTAGAGACCATTACAGTGAGGAAATTCGGGTACAGATCCAGGTCGCATAAGATTCATTGGAACTTCGTTATTTCGAACCTAAACTCCCGTAAAAAATGAGCCGACACTCATGTAGAACGAGTATCTTAAACCCTTCGTGAAACTTTTAGCTGAAACTCCTGTGGGCGAACGAACCGACACTCCCATGGACAATGAACCGAGACTCTAGAGGTACTTAAGTCGATGGGGGTTTTACATGATTCTCGCCTTGACGGCTCCAACCATGATGCATTTTTGTACCGGGGTCGCGATATGATACGTCGGCCAGCGCCGTATTGGAATTAACTAGAGTTCTCTTAGATAGTGGTAGCCCTCCCCAAGTTTAAAGTCTATTCCGCAGGTACGTATTCGAAAATTAGCAATATGGGCTTCACTCTATCTTAGTAAGTGGTTGAGGACTATCTTACACCTCTGCTGCTCTATGGGTCAAAGCTCTCGCATTGCACCCAAAATAGGGCCCTCTTTATAGTCAGGCTAAGTCAAAAGAGTCGAAAAAGTTTTGAAATCCTTTTAAAAAAATAAGACTTTAAAAATATTATAGACAGAAGATCTCCTAAAGCTTCTCCACAGACAGGCGAGCTTCTGTAGGACCCTGACACCCATGGCACCAGAAGAGTCTCCGGCCAGATTTCGTAGTTGAAACTACTACCAGTTTTTGTTCCCTACAACGCGGGACTGGTCACCCAAGATTTGATAGGAAGGATCAGGGAATGGGATTAGTTCAACACAATGTGCCACACTGATGGAGCAGTCTAATCGCTACGTTTACTTGGTCGGAGTTTTCTCACCGCGAGGAGCTAGGCCCAATCACTTCTTTCGCTGGCCATCGGCAACATATTTAGTTTGAAAGTTCCCACGATGAAGATCATGAAGATCTGTAATGATGAGGCATAGAGTTAAGATTCCCTGGGGTTCCCCACCACCTGCGGTAGCAGAAAAATATCGCTGGTCCGATGTCGGAACCGAAATATTTTCAGAATCGGTCCCGTGCGACCAGGGGACTGGTAGCACTCGTGGTAAACATAGTCCCACAAAACAACATAAAATAAGAAGACCTACCTAAATCTACCCTAAACTAGCGCTCAGCGACCGGTCTACGTCCTACCTGAAAATTTTCCACGACTAGCACGAGTAGACCTAGTGGAGAGTGCACGACTAACATTCCATTGGCCATCAACATAGAAGATACCGATGGAATCCAGGTTTCTGTGATCCTCATACAAATGACACGTACAGAGTACATGCAGCCTCTCATCGACTAGAGCCTCACACCTACACGCTTCTGTGACAAAACTTTTTTTCTATGCAAAATGCATTGAGAGTCTAGTCCGGTCGACAAATATCCCATATGCAGACCATATCAAAAACCGCGGTTAGTCGTGGCATATGTAACATCCGGGATTGACCCGGAAGTTATACGCCCATTTTCGCTCTCGTTCCATCTAGAGTTTACGAGCCCATGCTTACGATCAATGGCACTCATATTCTCCACACCTTCTGCCGCTCAATCTGTAGGTACGATTAGAAGACCTCTCTTGGCCAGAAATAACAAACTTGCACATATCTCCTCCAAGTCCAGAGGGCGCACCTGAATGACCATACGCTCGCATGACAGTATCTTGCCAAACCCATACCCTGACACTGCAGCATGCCATATGCTGACACCGTATGCTACACAGACAACAAACAGACCTCAACATATCACACGTAACGTACGTCTACCGAGACCTCAATATACGCCGGACATTACTAACTACACTGCACTCCATCTCTTTGAGCTCCTCATGATGGGGGATGAAATTCATCTTCTCACTCATTGAGATAGCCCAAATACCTCTGGTGCATCGGCTATTAGGCAGCATAACTTTCTGTAGCATTGTTACCGATTTCGGCCTTGCCACTTCGACATTAACCCGGGTGCCATAGGCACCGACTTTCGACATAATTCTGGAGCCCAACTATACCATCTCAGAACGAGATTGTGCCTCTAACAGAATGAGTATGTCATATCAGCTACAAAGCTAGATAATTTGTCGCAACAGAGGGTCCATCATCAATCTTCGTATAATTGGACCACAGTTAGAATCTTGTGGACAACCCCGGACGAACTCTATGGACACTCTATTGTTCGCACCAATAGATGAAGACACCTTATTCGAGAAATAGCTTTGTCAAAGCTCAGTCTCATTATAACCTACTTTCCTTAGATGGACTTTTGAGCAACACAGATAGTCAAAGGCCCCTCAAAGTCAACATATATTCTCAAAAACGTTCCGACTGGTAAACTCAGCGACACAGCACTTCACGTGCATCTAGAAATTCTGTAAATGACGAGCAGAGCTAACCGATACCCCTGTGGAACTAGGAGCCGAAAAGTAATGCGCAACAACGAGCCAAAGACTACTGTGTAAAAACCCACCGAAACTCCAGTGGAACAATGAGGTAATGTCTCATGTGGAACAACGAGCCCGAAACTAAAACTACTGTGGAACAAGGAGCCAAGAACTCCTGCGGAAATGAATTATCGCTCGCTCAATAGAATAAGGATCAGTTTAGGTGTTCCTAGGTAAAAAATATGTTAGGTGGAGTTCAGCAAATGAATTGAAATTGCTAACCCCCTGCAGTAGCAAGGCTTCCCTATTGCACAACAAACTAATCAATATATGTAGCCAGCACCACCAAGTATATGAGAATTATTTACTCTATGCAGGATATAAGAAATATATGTTTTTCATGGAAGATGTTCCAGAAAATTTCTTTTGAGCTTTTCTTTACAAAATCTTTAGGGTCTATAAAAGTTCCTTACAATGTCTATTTTTCAACGATATCTTTTCGAGTTTTTCATCTCTGCTAAACTTCTAATAAGCATTTAATTTCTCTTCCCACCTCAATCTCCTTAAATATATCAATTTAACTTAGGACTTTTATAAACCACTTAAAATTCAAATACTATTCTTAAATTCAATTTTCGAGTTATCTTTGACAGCAGAGAATTTATTAGGCATGCTTTGTGTGTCCTCTGGAGATATTTCATCTGTCATTTGAGCTCAAAATGAATTCTAACAATCATCTGTCACAGGGATAACCAGCACATACATACGAGCATGTAGAACAAGGGGAAGAAGACATAACATTTTTCAATTGAAAATGAACATTTTAACACACACATTTCAATTTACATTTTAATTTTGAATTTTAAAAGCCTAAAGTAAAACAACATCACCAGAACTAATCCTTCCATTCATCCAGGCATGTAAAATGTCCAGTTGCGAAGCAGAAACAGAAGAAGATTTACTCTTGTTCGAACATCTCGAAAGGAAATTAAAAGCTTGCAAACTAGTATCCTATGTCTTAAGTCCTACAAATAACAACAACCATAACAAATCACAAATAATCTCTCACAATTCGACATAAATGAAATGGATTTCTTCGTCTTTTTCGATATGAAAAATGAAAAATATACGAAAATTCTGCAAATGAATTTTCCATGTCAATTAGGGGGCTTAATTGAATTGAAATTTCAAATTTGGTTTAGTTTATGCAGGAGGGCTTTTAAGGCAAATTGAAAATAAAAAATAAATATGAAGAAAATATTTATGAAATAATAATTAAATTTGTTTTCATAAGTACTATGAATGTCTTTGTAGCTGGAGATGGATAGCCAGGAGATGAGGTTGACAAGAGAGCTATAATAGATTGATAAATATGTAGATAAATGGATAGGTTGATGCAGAAAAAGTAAACGCGATGCTTCTAAAAAGAAGTGGAACATTAGCTAGGGGGACAGGAGGCTTGCATTAAGCAAAATATAAAACGCCTTCGACGGTGAAATTATATTTGGTGATGTGATGTGTTTAAGACCGGCTTCGAATCACCGCAAATACGAAATGTATCGGATAATTTCATTTAATATTCCGAATTATTTATTTTAATATTCCGAATTATCTTAAGCATAACCGAATTAGAAAGACTTAGAATGTACAACTGATTACCACCAGATTGCATTTTTGTTCTGAAACACTTGATTACATTTCGATTCGTTCGAAAATAAACAGAAGATGCCCTTTGAGCAGGTATAAGTCCCCTAACCAAGAAACCGCTCATCTTCCAATTGGTAGCTAGGTGGAATAGGCCTGGAACCCTGTGTAGCGCTACTACTCTCTAGAAGATTTCTTGTAGTTGTAAAGATGCGCTAGGTGACGCAATGTATTGCGGCATAGGTGCAATCATAAGGTCCCCTTATGATTACCAAACGATATGTCAATTAAATTTGAATTTAATTTGAGAAATATTTAGATATCGCAAGTTGTAAAGAATCGATGTCTTGTTTTGCAAGTTATGACAGATTAAAGTATTGAAAATTGTGACCCTTTGCAAGTGAGGTACCAGAAGGGGATCGCAGATATACATCATATTCACAACTGATCTGGTGTTAGCAAAAATTACCAAAATTTTTTCAAAATCTTGAACCCTCTATTGGGGATGTACAATAAGGAATAGTCCGATCTCTACCATCGTTATAATATATCCTGTGTTGATAGAAATATCGAGATGTACCAAGTCTGAATGGAATCGGATATTAATTTCGTATTTTATGAGATTCATGGATATTCGAAATTGTAACCCTTTGTGGTGGAGGTCCCAGAAGGAGTGGACCGATATATTCTATATTCACAGCAGATCTTGTGTTGGTAGAAAAATTGGGATGTGTGAAATATGAAGAAAACCGGATGTTTATTTCGGATTTTATGATCGTTTTGGTTAATCAAAATTTAAACCCTTGTGTGGGAGGTACCAGAAGGAATGGTCCGATCTCTATCATCTTTATAACAGATCTTATGTTGATAGAAATGTTGAGATGTGCCAAGTTTGAATGGAATCGAATGTTAATTTCTCGTTTTATGAGCTTCATGGATATTTAAAATGTTGACCTTTTTTTTGTGGAAGAGGTACCAGAAGGAGTGGACCGATATATTCCATGTTTACATCAGATCTTGTTTTAATAGAAATAATGGGATGTGTGAAACATGTTGAGAGTTGGGTGCATATTTCTGATTTTATAATCATTTTAGTTATCCAAAACTTTGATTCTTTTTGGGAAAAATACCAGAAGAAATGGTCCGATCTCTACCATCTTTATAACAGACCTCGTGTTGATAGAAATATAGAGATATGCCAAGTCTAAATGGAATCGGATGTTATTTATGCGTTTTATGAGCTTCGCGGATTTTCAAAATGTTGACCCTTTGTGGGGAAGGTACCAGAAGGAGAACAATGATATATTCTATCTTCACAGGTAAAATATGAAGAGAACCGGATGCATATTCCGGATTTTATAATAATTTTAGGTATCCAAAACTTTAACCCGTTTTGGGGGAGGTACCAGAAGAATTGGTTCCAGAAGGAGTACACCGATATATTCCATCTTCGCAGCAGATCTTGTGTTAGTAGAAATAATGGGATGTGTGAAATATCAAGAGAACCGGATGCTTATTTCGGATTTTATGATCGTTTGGGTTACTCAACATTTTGACCCGTTATGGGGGAGGTACCAGAAGGAATGGTCCGATCTCTATCATCTTTATAACAGATCTTATGTTGATAGAAATGTTGAGATGTGCCAAGTTTGAATGGAATCGAATGTTAATTTCTCGTTTTATGAGCTTCATGGATATTTAAAATGTTGACCTTTTTTTTGTGGAAGAGGTACCAGAAGGAGTGGACCGATATATTCCATGTTTACATCAGATCTTGTTTTAATAGAAATAATGGGATGTGTGAAACATGTTGAGAGTTGGGTGCATATTTCTGATTTTATAATCATTTTAGTTATCCAAAACTTTGATTCTTTTTGGGAAAAATACCAGAAGAAATGGTCCGATCTCTACCATCTTTATAACAGACCTCGTGTTGATAGAAATATAGAGATATGCCAAGTCTAAATGGAATCGGATGTTATTTTCGTGTTTTATTAGCTTCTCGGATTTTCAAAATTTTGACTCCTTGTGGGAAAGGTACCAGAAGGAGTGAACCGATATATTCCATTTACTCAGCAGATCTTGTGTTAGTAGAGAAATTGGGATGTATGAAACATGTTGAGAGTTGGGCGCTTATTTCGGATTTTATAATCCTTTTAGTTATCCAAAACTTTTACCCTTTTTGGGGGAGATGCTAGAAGAAATGGTCCGATCTCTACCATCTACAACAGACCTCGTGTTTATAGAAATATAGAGATATGCCAAGTCTGAATGGAATCGGATGTTATTTTTGCGTTTTATGAGCTTCGCAGATATTCAACATTTTGAGCCTTTGCGGGGGGGGGGGGGGGGGGGGGGTGTTGTTACCAGAAGGAGTGAACCGATATATTCCGTCTTCACAGCAGATCTTGTGAAAGTAGAAAAATTAGGATGCGTGAAATATGAAGAAAACCGGATGCTTATATCGGATTTTATGATCGTTTTGGTTATTAAATTTTGACACGTTCTGGGGAAGGTACCGATCTCCACCATATTTTCAACAGATCTTGTGTCGAAGAAAATATTGAGAAATGCTAAGTCTGAATGGAATCGGATGTTAATTTCAAGTTTTATGACTTTCATGGGTATTCAAAATTTTGACCCTTTGTGGGGGAGATAACAGAGGGAGTGGACCAATATATTCCATCTCAGTGCCAGACCTTGGGTTAATAACAATATTGTGATATGTGTAATTTGAAGACAATCGGACTCTGCTATCACATCTGTGGGGGAGGTATTTCATGGGGTCGACCGATATTGTTCATTTTCGCACCTGACCTAGCACTAATGGAAATATTAAAATTTACAAAGTTGCTGCAAAATCGGATTATCCCTTCTCTTTCTGTGCAGTTTTTTTTTTTTGGAAGGTACCATAAGGTTTGGACCGATATTGCCCATCTCCGACCTCGATCAATGTTTAATAATAATATTACGATGTACCAAGTTTGAACCAAATAGGATACTCTGCGCACCAGTCAGACAGACGGATGGACGGAAATCCCTAGATCGACTACAAATGTCCTGAAACGGTTTTTTTTCAAAGACCTAGGGTCTAAAACCGATATTTCGATGAGAAACGTTTTGGCCGTATCAAATGTTATATACCCTCTATAACCATATGGCTGAGAGGGTAACACGAACACATGACTATATCAACGATGGCAGCATCGATCAACCAGCCAAGTATACACTGTCAATAAAATTCCATGATACATACTGCATAGAGTAATTAATTTTCATACTCTTCGAAGTGCTGGTTACATATAGTGATCAGTTTGTTACGGGAAGGCTGGCTTCGGCAGGGGCTTAGCAATTTCAAATAATTTGCTGTACTCCAACTAACATAATTTTTACCTAGTAACACCTGAACTTTATCTTTATTCTGTTGAGTGGCCGATAATTCATTTATACAGAAGCTATGGCTCGTTGTTCCACAGGAGTTTCGGCTCGATGTTTCACAGGAGCCCCTGGCTCGTTGTTCCGCAGGAGTTTTAGTTTCTGGCTCTTGGTTCCACATGAGGCTTTACCCAATTGTTCTACAAGAGTTTCGGTGCATTTTTCCACACCAATGCATAAAATAATGTCCACAGGGCTTCTTTGTGGAAATTCCTCCCACAGGTTGTATACACATACAGGTCTTCTAAAGATAGAAGACCTTCCAAAGATCATCTGAGCATAGAATACGTACCACAAGTCCGTAATACAAGTAATACCTTCCATAGGTCTTCCTATAAAATTCTTCTCTAAAATTTTCAAAAATAAAGTTAATTCCCCATCCCGATATTTTTTAATATTCTCAACACAAATTCAAATCCCACATGACCTGCTTGTTTTGGACAACATATATTTAGGACAAAAATTCCAAGCTATTGCGAATTCTATTAACTCGCTGTGGACACTTCAAAACAAAAAATCCAAAATTAAATTTCACTCTCATTTTGAACTGGTTGGCTGGCTGGCTGGCTGGTTGGTCATTCGAAATTCCAGCTATGCCTAAGAAATAATTGACAAAATTTATGGACAGATGAATTGAATTGAAAATGAGTTTCTAATTCGATGCCGGCACATCGAAATGGCAATTTTTAATTTTGTTTTGTTCTTTCGATTCTCATTATTCTTGTTTGTGTTTTTTTTTTTTTTTTTTTCTTTTTTGCATTTCTAGGTTGGCTGGAACCACTGCTGGATCGCATTGCTAGAAATTCAACGACGGTTGTGTGTCCCGTTATCGATGTCATCGACGACACAACATTGGAATATCATTATCGTGATTCGGGCGGTGTTAACGTTGGCGGTTTCGATTGGAATTTGCAATTCAATTGGCATGGAGTGCCCGAACGGGAGAGGAAACGCCATAAGGTAAATTTTCATAGAATTTATTTGTGTTTCTTTTATTTAGAAAAAAAAAACAAATATTCTAATTGAATTTATTAAAAATTTAGCAACCTCCCCATATAACCAAATTCCCTGAATTTTATTATTCGCCCTAAATTTAAGTAATTTCCCAAAAGCCCTTTGATCCTTTGGCTCCATAATCTCTCTCATGTGTATCCCTTCCTGTTTTGTCCTGTTTGCAAACAAATTAAATATTTGTCTAATCCAGTTATCTCCTTAGCCGATATCCACCTCTGAAAATGGGCAGATATATGTGCCAAACAAAAAAGGTTTCAATTGCCATTTTGTCAATTTATTTATTTGGGTTTTATTGCCAGAATGTTAATGTAATTCAACCGGAATTTCTTGTTAGTTTTGTATAACCTTTGCCAAGATCCCTTTTTTATAGCCACATTTTATTTTCCATTTTGAGTCAAGGCAAGACATTTGTGGGGGAGGGGGGGTGGATGTCTAAAGATTTAGTGTCATAAAAATGAGGTTGTATATTTGCCATCTATCTGTCTTGGTAACATTTGTGTAGCGCATATCTAGACAAATCATTACAAAATAACACACACACATACGGACACACGTGTGGGTACAAAACGTGTGTGTGTGAGGGAGGACAGTGGGAGGAATGGAAAAAAGAGAGAAGATCTTCAGGTCTCTATGAGAAAACAACTAGGTCTTCTATGAGAAGACCTCCAGGTCTTTTATAAGAAGAATTCCAGGTCTTCCATGATAAGATCTCCAGGTCTTCCAAGAGGAGACCTCCAGGTTTTCCATGAGAAGACCTCACGGTCTACTATAAGAAGACCTCAAGCTCTTCTATCGAAGAAGACCTCCAGCTTTTCTATCGAAGAAGACCTCCAGCTTTTCTATCGAAGAAGACCTCCAGCTCTTCTATCGAAGAAGACCTCCAGGCCTTCTATGAGCAGACCTCCAGGCCTTCTATGAGCAGACCTCCAGGTCTTCTATGAGAAGACCACCAGCTCTTCTATGTGAAGACCTCCCGGACTTCTATGTGAAGACCTCCAGCTCTTCTATCGAAGAAGACCTCCAGCTCTTCTATCGAAGAAGACCTCCAGATCTTCTATCGAAGAAGACCGCCAGCTCTTCTATCGAAGAAGACCGCCAGCTCTTCTATCGAAGAAGACCACCAGCTCTTCTATCGAAGAAGACCGCCAGCTCTTCTATCGAAGAAGACCACCAGCTCTTCTATCGAAGAAGACCGCCAGCTCTTCTATCGAAGAAGACCGCCAGCTCTTCTATCGAAGAAGACCGCCAGCTCTTCTATCGAAGAAGACCGCCAGCTCTTCTATCGAAGAAGACCGCCAGCTCTTCTATCGAAGAAGACCGGCAGCTCTTCTATCGAAGAAGACCGCCAGCTCTTCTATCGAAGAAGACCGCCAGCTCTTCTATCGAAGAAGACCGCCAGCTCTTCTATCGAAGAAGACCGCCAGCTCTTCTATCGAAGAAGACCGCCAGCTCTTCTATCGAAGAAGACCTCCAGCTCTTCTATCGAAGAAGACCGCCAGCTCTTCTATCGAAGAAGACCTCCAGCTCTTCTATCGAAGAAGACCGCCAGCTCTTCTATCGAAGAAGACCGCCAGCTCTTCTATCGAAGAAGACCGCCAGCTCTTCTATCGAAGAATGGAAGAAGACCTTGAGCTCTTCTATGGAAGAAAACCTTGAGCTCTTCTATTGAAGAAGACCGCCAGCTCTTCTATGGAAGAAGACCTTGAGCTCTTCTATGGAAGAAGACCTTGAGCTCTTCTATGGAAGAAGACCTTGAGCTCTTCTATGGACGAAGACCTTGAGCTCTTCTATGGACGAAGACCTTGAGCTCTTCTATGGACGAAGACCTTGAGCTCTTCTATGGACGAAGACCTTGAGCTCTTCTATGGAAGAAGACCTTGAGCTCTTCTATGGAAGAAGACCTTGAACCCTTCTATTGAAGAAGACCTCAAGCTCTTCTATGGAAGAAGACCGCCAGCTCTTCTATCAAGCTCTTCTATTGAAGAAGACCTCAAGCTCTTCTATTGAAGAAGACCTCAAGCTCTTCTATTGAAGAAGACCTCAAGCTCTTCTATTGAAGAAGACCTCAAGCTCTTCTATTGAAGAAGACCTCAAGCTCTTCTATTGAAGAAGACCTCAAGCTCTTCTATTGAAGAAGACCTCAAGCTCTGCTATTGAAGAAGACCTCAAGCTCTGCTATTGAAGAAGACCTCAAGCTGTTCTATTGAAGAAGACCTCAAGCTGTTCTATTGAAGAAGACCTCAAGCTCTTCTATTGAAAACCTTGAGCTCTTCTATCGAAGAAGACCTTTAAGCTCTTCTATCGAAGAAGACCTTTAAGCTCTTCTATCGAAGAAGACCTTAAGCTCTTCTATTGAAGACTTCAGGTTCTTCTATTGAAGACCTCAATCTCTCTCTATGAGAAGACCTCAATCTCACTCTATGAGAAGACCTCCAGTTCTTCTAGGAGAAGACCTCAGCTCTTCTATCGAAGAAGACCTCCAGCTCTTCTAGTGAAGACCTCAAGGTCTTCTAGTGAAGACCTCAGTGCCTTCTAGATCTCGAAGTTTTTTTTTTTTTTTTTGAGGTTTTTATCGGTATTTCCTACCCCACTGTTCTCATCCGCCCTATAGTGTTCCTTCTAGGATAGGTCGTGACGTCTTCTGTGTTTTTCATCTCCAGGCCAGTGGGATGCATGGATGGATGCCTAGATGGATGAACGAAATAAATGATTTAAGATTTAGCTTTTTGCCATGTTAAATGATATTGGGCTCTAAGTGTGGTGGGGATTTCTTTAAATGAAGGCCAAACAGAGAAGAAAATTAGGAAAACTTAAACGAAGAACAATGGATGACTACCAAAATGTTTATAACAAACAAAACGTGACTGGGTTCCGCAACAACTGAAGACAACAAAACTAATGGCAAAGGCTATAAAAACAACGCCAACACCAATCACACTAAACTGTTTCATGGCATACAAAATAGCAGCAGCAACAACAACAACAACAAATACTACAACAATTTCCAGTTCATATTAAATCTCTTGGACATATAAATGGTAACCCAAAGAAAACATTGACCCTTACCTTTTTATTTGGGTGGAGGGGCAGGAGGGGGGCGAGCTTTAGTCTTGTGTTGCTTTTATGGATTTGTGGTAATTGTAATCTAAACTCTGGCAAGGATTTGGGGTTATAAATGATATTTGCCACAGAGCCAGAGTCTTTTAGGGAAACTCCTTGGTGGGGAGAGGGAGATAAGCAACAATTTTGGAAAGTCATTTTTGAAAATCCATTTTTGGAAAATTTATTTTGAAATCCTTGAATTTAGTTATCAAACCCTCCACATACCTTTCCATTTTCTTCCTTTGAAGAGAAATCTTAAATTTTCCAGTAAATTGAATGTTGGGGGTTTCCCACTCATACGTTTCCTATTTATTATCCCCAGACCCCCCATTTTACTTTCACATGACTTGATGTCCCCCTTTAAAAGATTATTGGATTTATCATTTCCTTTTTTCTGCTACTCTACTTCAGTTTTTCCATTTCACTTCGTTTGTCCCTTTTTTTGTTGACCATTTCGCTTTGCTTGATATTTGTTCTTCCATCCACTTACACAAACACATACGCTCTCTCGCCCGCTCGCTCGCACTCACTCACTCATCTACCTACCTACCGACATACATCCACTCATGTCCATTTTTGCATATCCTTTTAATAGGATTTCTTATTGCCCAATGATATTAAGGACTTTCCATATTGTCGTTGCTTTTCCTGTCGTTATTGTTGTTGTATTTTGAATGACAACAACACCAACCAATGCCAACAAAAGCTCTTACGATTTGGTAGAGGAGGAAAATTTGCTATTCCACAAATGTCCTTGCTCACTTAATAATGGCTTGAGAACATTTGTAAGAACATTTGTAAGAGAATTAGAATAAATGACAGCTTATAAATGGAAGCATTTAAATTGTTATTGTCCCATTCGAAATTGGGACAGGATGAAAGGTGAGTGCATTGGAAATGGGTTATACGAAGGTCAGATGAGCTACCATTTGAGGGAGGCACACTACACATGAGGGTATTAGAATAGACTTTCACTAAGCGGAGGGAACAAGGATGTTACAACAAATGGAGTCGGGAAGGAAACCTCGAAATTAAGAATCTGGCCGGGGGGTCAAAAGCAAATGTCGTAGAAGTAAAATTTCAACAGAGGACATGAATGATATTCCGAAAAAAAACTTTTTCTTAAAAACAACAGAGACCTTCCAGGGAAAGTCTGAAATAAGTCTACATCGGCTCGCAAAAGAGACATTTTTCTCTTTCTGAGAGAATATCAAAATAACAGAAGAAGGTATAGCTTAAGAAGACCCTGGGAAAGTTCTTTCGTAACAGGCCAAATAAGAGAGAATTTATATTATGTTTGTACCAAATTTCGAAATTATTTACAAAATACTGTGAAATTTAAACCGTTGGGCGCCATTCAGTCGTATTAAATAACACTGTGCAACAAAATGCAGTTTTTCAATAATTAAAGAGAAAATCAAGCAAATCCTGAAAGTAGAGCTAAACCTAGAGGACACGGGTAACGGAGTTTTGCAACGTAAGAAAGAAAGAAGAAAGGAAAGAAATCCCGAAATTTACAATCAAGGACGGGAGGTCAAAAGAATATGTCACAGAAGGAGAATTTTCAACTGAGGACAAAACAGTCCTCAGACAGGAAAACTTTTTTCTTTAACGGAGTTTTGCAACGTAACCTATATAGAGAGGGCAAGTTCCCCCCTCTCTAACAAATTTTTTGAAATTTTCGAAATAAGATTTCTTGGAACCCGATGATTTTAGGTATACAGTGTCTTTAGCAATATTGCAGAGAAAATTACGAACAATAATCTGATGGAAAATGTTAACCCTCTAGCGAACCAACAAAGGGGCCTGTTTGGTCCTTTTTTCAAAATATGGATTAAAAAAAC